CAGGTTCACACACAGCACTATATACTTTGCTGTTTTAATCGTTCAACTGGCTTGACGGATGTCTTTAAAGGGAACATTGGATGCCCATTTTCCACAAGTTGGTATGATTCTTTAGGGTCTGCATGAAATGTCTGCAACATACTTAAAATGCTGTCAGCGGCCATGGGCGGGGCTTGAGCAATATGATGTCATACTGAGCATAAAATCAAAACAGCTTGATAATTGAGACTGTTTAGGTTTTTGGGCGATTAAAAAAATGAAGTGAATGGATTTTTATCATTGTAAGGTGGTTGTGTCCACACACTGCTATTCCGTTGTATTACGTCTCGCATTTTTAAGTAATAGAATTCTTAAGTACTATTTTGTGTACTAGCATTTAATTATGCAAGAGTTATCACTGAGGAATAGTAAAAACTTTCGCCCTCACACAAAACTCCTGATCGCGAGAATTCCTAATGAATGACTGGATTTCGTCCGAGAAAATTCACTGAACAACGGTAAATGTGACTATAGCTTAAGACTTCATTTTAAGACTTGATTAATGTCTTAGAGATCTTCTGAGGTTACTGAGGTATTTTAATCAGGAGACAAATCTTAAAGCAGAAAAAGTCTCAGTTCCCTGAGATCTCAATGTTTTCTCTTTCCTGTGGACAACTGTTCTGCTACCCTTTCAGATCTTTAGGCAAATCATAGAAAGTTACACTTTGAGTAAACTGTATTTTACAGCTGCTAAGCTGCTCAATAATCACCCTAATAATGTCACTGATGGCAGTTCCTCATATCTGCTCAGCCAGTATATCATTGTAAAACAGGAGAAAACAGGTTACTCGCATTTAGACTAATCACAAAAAGCCGCATTCATATAGTGAAGGGATAATGCCGTATTTTAGCTCTGATGGTATAGATATCTGGACAGGCCCACATGACACCGATGCAGAGTAAGCATTTTACAAGTGGCTCTGGTTCTTGCACACATTAACCTTAGGCTGTAATTTCCATTAAAGCTCCTCAACCTTCTGTTGTCACAGAAGTTCTACAGGCCTTGTTAAGTCCACTGCTGAGTCTGAGTGTCCTCATAAACATTTGAAGGGTTGGGGGCACGAGCCCCGGCTGCTTACTTTTAAAGCCTGCTAAGCTCAAGTCCCCTATCATTTATTAATGAGCTCTTAGGAAACCTTGAATTTTTAAAGCAGTGCGGGATGGAGATTAAAATTTAGCCCAAACTGGTTGTCGACATGCCCATCCGGCTTTTGCTGACTCTCTCTCTCTCTCTCTTCTCTTGCAGTTGTAATTACTCCTAATGCAAAAGCTTCATTTATTAACGGAAGATGCTTTGAGCCATTCGCTGTATAAATGCTCAACCTGTTCCTGTTGTGTGAGAGACTGTGTTTACTGTGCATTTCATTTATGTTGTTCGCTCTCACTCCCTTTTTTTATGTTGTTTTCTGTTTGCCGATGTAGGGAAAATCACTATGAGGCTGATCCTGGCTACACCTCATATAAGTGTTTTCCCTCAGTATTCCAGACAGTCTGGGTTTCAACAGCCATTGCAAATGTTGTGAGGATGCTACTTTCTTTACAACTGCCCTTAACTTAGAAGGTTTCAAAATATGGGATATGGAAAGTATACACAGTCACTTTCCATACAAAACTGACTATATAGAGTGAAATGTTAAGATTAGATATTCAGCTGCTATTTAATGTTATATTTAAAGTATGTTGAATTTATAATATAATAATTTAATAATTTGCATAATATTATAAAGACAACATGTTCCAAATTTAAATAATTGGTTTGATATTGTCTCTGTTCTCAGGCCAAAACAAATTATTAAAATATTATCTAGAGATCATTTCCTTAGGTTTTTATTATTATTATTATTATTACTGTTTACTGTTAAAATTAGGGCTAACAATAGAATAAAATGTGACTAATATCATGATTTCCAACCATTTTTTATAAGGCAAAATGAAATAGTAATAATAGCATTTAAATAGCATAAAATAGCATTTGTTAAATGTTTAAAAAATATATTGTTAAAATGTATTTAATTAGTATCTTACATTAACTTTTGACAACACACAACTTTTTTTTTTATAAATAAGTTTTTTTTTCTCAAATTTGTTTGAAACTCCCTGGTTTATATTATATTGAGATGTTATTCTATGGTCTACAGTTATTCGACAGTCTACAGTTATTATTCTGAGGTCAGGGGAGCAAAGCAGGACAACATTTTACAGCTAAATCTTTCTTTTTAAAGGCCAGTGGCGAAATATGGATTTTGTCAGAAACGGGAGGCGCTCAAAGCATGAGCAACTATTGGGAAGATTACAGTCACTACATATGCTATATAAGATGTATCCTCAACACAAGCCTCTTTGAAATGAGATCCAGTTATCTGCTCACTGGTAAAATAGTTTTCTGCCACCATCACAATCCTCTACAGCCTTAGTGTTGTAGTTTTGGCAGGAAAGTGTGAGAATATTTTCCATTAAAAAGTGTCTGTACTCCTCAGTTAAAGGAATAGATCACCCAAAAATGAAAAATTGCAGAAAATTTAGTCACACTCCTAATCGGCTGCTGCCAGTGCTTGTGGCTGGAGTGAGGGACAGTGATGCAGAGGTGCGCAATAACAGTGTGTTTGCACTGGGAGCTCTAGCACAGGCTGCTGGACCCATCGTTGCCTCGTATCCTTTATGCGTGTGTGTTTGTGAGCCTGTTCTCTGATCTCCTTGACTCTGTGAACCTTAACTACTGTGCTTCAGTGATTACCCAATGATGCTCTCGCTTTTCTCCAACCTACTTTCTAAAGAATCTGACCTAAGAGTTATTGACAACCTCTGTGCTGCCCTGTGCAGAATGATCATGAGCCACATCGAGGGGGTCCCACTGGAGCAGGTTACTTCTATCTTCATCTTTAAGGAATGCTTCAACAAAAAAATCTAATTTGCTGGAGATTTACCCACTCTCAGGCCATCCAAGATGTAGATGAGTTTTTGTTCTCCACAACACATTTTGAAAAATTTTGATTTATATCACTTGCTCACAAATGAATCCTCTGCAGTGAATGGGTGCCATCAGAATGAGAGTCCAAACAGCTGATGAAAACAAAGAAATCCATCCAAGTAATCCACACGACTCCAGTCCATTAATTAAAGTCTGTAAAGTGAAAACCTGTGTTGGTAATGAACAAAATTATCATTATAACATTTTTAAATTCAAAGTGTTGCCTTTGGATAAAATGTATTTCCTTTATCCATAATATTGCTTACTCCTGTAAAGAAGTTGTCTCGTAGTCTTAATAGATGTCTTAATAGATTTGTTTACTAAAAACACACCGCTTTTCACTTCACAAGACATTAATTGATGGACTGGAGTTGTGTGGATTACTTGTTGATTATTGTGATGTTTTTATCAGCTGTTTGGACTCTCATTCTGACGGCACCCATTCACTGCAGAGGATCCATTGGTGATGAGCAAGTGATGTAATGCTTAATTTCTCAAAATCTTGACATCTTGAATGGCCTAAGGGTGAGTAGATTTTCAGAAAATGTTCATTTTTGGTTGATCTGTTGCTTTAAAGAAATATAATTAGTTCTGTCAGGACCACTATCGTCAAAATGATAGATACTTAGCATAAAGTTTGGTTTGGCGGTATGGTTCTGTTCTGGGCAAAAAACTCCCTGCCCATCCATGCAGCCTGTCATGAATGAGCAGGGAGAGCAGCAATAATAACCCCCCTAGGGTTAACAGAACAGAACAAGGCAGATATCATTAATGTACTTAATGATATTTAAGTGTAACACTTTATTCAAGATAAAGGAGTCAGATTAGCAAGGAATATCAGAAAGCCAAGTCCTGACTGTGGCGAAAGGAGGAGCTGGGGATGGAGGAGTGTAATTTGCTCCTGAGCAAGCTAAAAAGCTGCTGAATATCATGCAAATAAAGTCCTGTCAACATATTCTCCAGCGTCTCCTCGTCCCTCGTGTGTGTGCAACGTGACACATCCAGGATGCAGATGAGTTTGTTTCTTCATCAGAACAGATTTGGAGAACTGTAGAATTACATCACTTGCTCACAAATGAATCCTCTGCAGTGAATGGGTGCCATCAGAATGAGAGTCCAGAAAGGAGGAGCTGGGGATGGAGGAGGGTAATTTGCTCCCGAGCAAGCTGAAAAGCTGCAGAATAATACTGAATAGAGCTTATATAGGAATGCCACGATAGGTGTCGTATTCCTATAGGTAGATGTGTTCAGCTGAGAATCAGCTGATGCAAGCTTTACTCACGTGACCTGCCAGAACTAACGCTAACGCTTAATTTATCTGTTCTTGTTGTAAAATGCCGCTGTTGCAAATCATTTTTTGGGTTTTCCTGCACCAATTTTTTTTTTCTTCTCAAACAAGATTTGTTTTTGAATTAGTTTGAAAAGATTGCAAGGACACAAAACTGCAATCAGTTTTCTTTGTCATTTTGGTCACGACTTCCATGTGCTTATCATCTTAAGTAGCAACTGTTATCAATATTAAAATAAGGCTGTCTGGTCAGAGAATAAGTGCATGCAAAGTATGGAGAGATTTGTTTGCAGTCATATCCCTACGATGGGTCAGCAGAATTATATTTGCCATGTTTACATTAGTTACGTTTGCAGAAAGAGTTCAGAGGAATATTTCATCCCTTGAGTCAAAGTGACTGACAGTATCTTGGCAGCAGGTGTTCTACTGGAGGCCGTCCAATCACAGAGCAAGTCTGTAGAGTGTGCACCAAAGCTAAAGCCAATCAATTTTAGAGAGAAGAAGTGTTGCAGCCAACTCATCCTGTTCAAAGCACTATTCAATCATCTTCATGAATTGAGTATCACCACCGCAATCCACTTTGCAAGAATCCCAAAGCAACCCACACTCCTTTGGTCTGACACTAAATATTGTTCACGGGAACAGGACAGTCGAGTCATAATATTTTGCATCAGTTTCTTTATTGTAAATGCACTGTGGGTAGAAACTGTATAAAAAATGTAATATTGCACAATATAAATCAACTGCACTTTTTTCAAGGTATAATGATGCATTTGTGTTATGCTACAAGAATATGCAGGTACTGTGCTCCAATTAAATAACAAGATACTGTGACCAAGAATTTTTTTGTTTGAACATATTAGTACTTTTAAATATATAACCAATAGTTATCAAAAATGTCCTCCAAGTATGAAGATTCGTGGGCTACCAGCTAAATACAGTGTTTGGCACTGTAGTGAAGATATTAGACTTGTGAATATCTAACACAAAGACTGTTTAAAGCTAATAAAATGCTAAGCACAATTTCTATATACATAGCCCTCTATATGTTACCTGCATTATTATACTCCCCAATTTGTGTTGTGATTGTTTCATTATTTTGCTTTAGGTGGGTAAACAAGCACAAGATTTCAGTGATTGACTGCCATCATTCAAATTTAATTGAGCAAATGACACGTCAGCTTGAACAGAGTGGTGTGATTTATAGAATAGAGCCTATTTCTATTGTTTTGTGTTCTGTATTTGTGCACTTTCCACCCTATAATACGAAACAATGATCATCTACACAGATTTGAGGTGTTCTCATATTTTTTCACCATGGAACATATTGTCTGTAATCTCCAGCCAATTCTCAAGCATCTTTATGAGTCTGAAAAATATATTTACTGAGAAATTGACCTAGGTTTACAGTATGTTATAAATGCAGCGTCATATTCCCAAGAAAATAGTTTCAGACCTGAACATCTGCAAATCGAAATTTTACTGTAATGTTTTTCTTATTCCAGGAATATTGATTGCCCATTATTTGATGCAGAAATCCATATAATTGAAAGACAAATCATTGTATTTTCGTAAATTATTATTATTATTTTACTTTTTTGAGAACACCAGCGTGTAAACCCTTTTTCATTTATACATTTACAGCCTAACCATTTCTGACATACTTATTGTGCATTCTCAACATTTTCCAGAAAAAATATCTCTACAAAGTCATTGATTATTAGTGCATGCAGTCAGCTGATTCTGAATTTACTCACTAATTTAATTTCATTAATTTAATTTATTCTGTCATATAATGATAATCAATTGGTGAGAGACTTTGAGAAAGAAAGAAAAAACGAAAGAAATACTGGGAAAGAGACAGAGGTATATCTCAGCTATCAAATCTACTTTATAATTCCCAAAAGTTTGTGCTTTGCTGATTAGATGTCTTTGATGTACGGCTCCAAAGTAGTTTTCTGGCAAACTAGCATTTAGCTTTGAAGTTTCTTGTCGCCTCTGCAGGGTCCCTAAATTAAAATGGGACAAATGTAGAAAGAAGAAAGAGAGATCTCAGAGTTAGACACTGGAAAATATACACACACACACACAACGCATCTACAAACATCCCTGCTCTCTTACCTTGCAAACTTGACTAAACCTAAGGATCATTGAGTAATCCCATTGAAAAATGTGAGATCAGGTGAATTCAGCAGTTCCCAAACTCAGAGGGTTTCTCAGAGGGTCATGATTAGAAAACAACTGTTATTCCTTATTAGAATCCAGTCACTCAGTGGATCCCATGTTCCAAAACGGTGGCTAGCAGTGAGCATTTCTCCATGTTTATCCAATTAGTCAAGCAAAATTCCACTAGAATTCGCTCGTTGTGATGGTTTCAGGGATCCTGAATCCATGTTAGAGGAACCAGAGTTTCCATCGCGCATGCTTCTTGGACTCAGTCTTGGACTTGCGTTTGGGGGTGGAGGTGAACACCTCGTGCGTGTAAGGCAGAGAAGGGTAGGACGGCTCTTCGAATGGACACATTCTCTTCATTAAGGGCTGCAGTTTGTCCTCTTGAAGTTTAAAATCTAGTTCCACACTAAAAAAGAAAAAGGGAACATTATAGGTGAGGATAACGTAGAGTAGAGATCATATCAAAGCAGATTACACAAAAGTGTCTAGATGAGGATCTAAATTAGTCAAATTAAAGCCAACAATAAATCAAATTTGACTCCATTTACTTTTTCTTAAATTAATTTTCCATATCTTATTGTGCCTATTTCATCAACGACATCCTAAAACTCTATTCCAAAGTGCATCAATATATTTTCTTCATAATTTTTCATCATGCAACCCTCTGAAACGTCTTTCCTTTTCTGCCTTTTCTGTCCTTTAGTTTTGATATCATTTACAAATGTAATATATTTTTAAAATGGTAATTGTTTTAATATTATTTTTTTGGAAGAAATTAATACTTTATTTGGCAATGATTCATTAAATATATTAAGTGACATTAAAGACATTTACATTTACATTGTTAAATATATATATACAGCAAGAATGCATTAAATTGATTAAAAGTGAAAGTAAAGACATTTATAATGTTTTCTATTTTAAATAAATGCTGTTCTATTGAACTTTTTATTCATCAAAGAATACTGAAAAATATTATGAATATTATGTTTCCACAAAAACAATTAAGCAGCTTTTCAACAATAAATGTAATATTTATTGAGAAGCAAACGATTTCTGCAGGATAATGTGACACTGAAGACTGGAGTAATGGCTGCTAAAAATTCAGCTTTGCATCACAGGAATAAACTACATTTTCAAGTATATTTAAATAGAAAACAGTTCTTTTAAATTGTAATCATATTTCACAATAACTTCGTTCTTTTTTTTTTCTTTTTTTTATCAATTAAAAGACTGAGCATAAGAGACTTATTTCAGAAAGATTAAAAAGTCTGACCCTGAACAATCAGTTCCCAGTGGATGTAATACATTTTCCTGTTGAAATCCTCTTTCACTCAGTAATAATTTGACAGTAAAATTAGTTGCAAATGCCATTTAATGTTCAAGTTTTGTCTGCCTTAGTAAATGTTTTGAGTGTATACCACCTCATTCCTGACCTCTAACATCATGACTAAGCTGTTTAGCTCAGTCTCAGCGTTTGTGTGTATGTGTGTGTTTGACTGTCCTCGCACAGCCACAGTCTGACCTAGTCTTCCCTCTAAAGTCATAATCCCATGACAATCAGATGATTCCTGATGATTGCAGTGGCTACACTCCCAGATTAACCATCAGAGACAGCTTTAATCTGATCTAAATTAAATCATTCACAAAGCAGAGTCTGAGTCATCAGAGTAAAGAACAGAGACACACAAACCAATCACACATATCAGTACCACTCACTTTCAACTGCTCCATTCCTCACTCGCCCCCTTCTTTTCACTTCCCTGCGCTACAAATGAGCGTATTGGAAATCAATGTTTGACTCATCAATTCCTCCATTCATAAAAGATTTGTGCAAAAAGAGAGCTCTCTAACCAAATTGCAGCATGGGAGTCAATTATGTTTATCTACGTCTTTACACTGAAGGTTTGTTTGGTTTGCAGTAAGGAACGCTTTATATACGACAATCGAGCCCTTTGGCTTTCATTCAAAGTTTTGTATTGGATAACACACATTTCATTTAATTACAAGCTGCTATGGTGAAACGCAGACATTAATCGTTCAGATCATTATGGAATTTTGCACTGAATTTCAAAGCCTTTGAAAATACGATAGCACTTTATCACAATTCCACACATACAAACCCTACACCAAGGACTTTTTTCCCATCACATACGTATCGAGACAACAGAACAAACCAATAACAGACTAAAACCCATGGAGACAAAGCAATCTGCATCTCATTTTCAAGTCTGTCCTGGATTTTCACAAATGATCAGAAAAACTTCTCTGGCATGGTATATTTAGAAGCTGCAGTGTTTGGTTTGTCTATTTACAGAACTTGTGAAAGCTCAGCGATTCTCGTTAGACACTCTGAGGGTGAAAGAGAATGGAACAGCCGTGTGTTCCTGCTCCAGGTTGGGCTAAACTACACTCAGCAATTAATCACAGGAAAAACCCGAGCAGTTACCTTGTGTACACTACCAGCAGGGGGGTGTAAAACATATGGGTGGCTGGTGAACAATGCACAGCAAACAATTGCAGGATCTGTAAACCTGACTCAGAATCGAGATGATGTCTTAAGGTTTTCAAGTATCCTAAGAAATTTTCTTTATTTTCTGTTCTCATATATCGAGTTTTGTAACAACAAATGCTGATTATCTGTTACAGGCTAATTCGATTCATACATCCTTTTGTAAAAAAGGGAAAATCCTACTCTACAAAAAAATGTCAATGTACAACCAATGATATGAGTTATATATGACAGTACATGATGATACTTCCTGTTCAGCAAATGGAAAATACTTTAACTATAAGCATTATAGTTATAGTTAAATATACTATAATAATTTCTAATAATATATTTACTAGATTTAATTAATTCTTCTATTTTCTATTAATCAAAGAATCCCGAAAAAATGTATCATGGTTTCCACAAAAATATTAGGCGTCACAACTGTTTTCAATATTGATAATAAGAAATGTATCTTGATCACCAAATCTGCATATTAGAAAGAGTTTAAGAATAAATTACATTACATTATAAAACAGTTATTTTGTAGTAATAATTCATAATATTACTGTTTTTACTGTATTTTTGATACAAAAAACAATGTAGCACTGCTCAGCGTAACAATATTAGTTAAAAATATATTTTTTAAATTCTACCCCAAACTTTTAAATGAGAGAAAGTGTGTGTGTGTGTGTGTGTGTGTGTGTGTGTGTGCGTGTGTGCGAGTGCGTGTGTGCGTGTGTGTGTGTGTCGGTTTATCCTTGCATTGTGAGGACCGAATGTGCCCACAAGGATAGTAAAACCTGAAATTGCAAACAAATGCAAACAAGTTAACTGTGATGGCTAGGTTTAGGGGTAGTGATGGGTTAGGTGTCTTATCCGAATTTAATAGGAGAAAATTATTGGTCATCCAATCTTTTACATTTTTAACACACTCTGTTAGCTTAGATAATTTAGAAGTTTCATCTGGTCTGGTGTGTGTGTGTGTGTGTGTGTGTGTGTGTGAGACCTGGTATTCCTAACATTAGGAGGAACAAATGTCCCCACAAGGATAGTAATACCAGAAAATTTGGACCTTGTGGGTACAATTTGTTTGTTTGTTTGTTTTGGTATTTTTTGGTCCCCATGAGAAAAAAGCTTTTTGAAAATCTAAAAATGTTGAAAGTTTTCTGTGAGGGATAAGAAATAGGGTAAGGGGATAGCACATCCTTTAGCTATCCTTTTATCTTCCAGTAAATTTACATGAATTTAATTTGAAATTGATTTTTAATAAAGCGTTGTGGGTATGAATAGGTGATTGTTGAAATAACTCCCTGTGGTTGACATCAAATATAAGTGACCCAGGTTCTTGCTCAATTATTTCCTTCACTGCTTTGCTGTAATGTAGAAACATACACACACAAACATGCATACGGTCAAACTCGGTGGGGGGTGGGGGTGTTTGTAGACATGGAGCTAAATATTTAATCACAGTAACACTGAACATCATCCTTTATACAGGTATACAAACATTCAGCCGCGAGCTTTGGTCAATGACAGGGTACAAACCCGGCCTGTCAGATGCCACAAATATTATGTTCAAACACTTTACCGCAGGGACAAACTGTAATAGGTTCAGTCAATGAGAGGTTGTATTAAAAGAAAAGCTCAATCTTGGACACAACAATGTCAAATATTATGTTCCAGTACGAGTCAAGATAGCAACTGATTTTAGAAGGAGGCCTAAAGGTTTTTATCTGAGTGAGCGGAGGCTGGTGCAAGAGATCAGCTGGATCATTTCTGAGAGTTTTACTGAAGTAAGTGGATTATTATCAAGCTCTGTCTGTAATTTCTGCTCAAGCAGCACCGCTGTCCATCCCTGCTGTGCACATTGCCGGGTATCTCTGCCACCTCTCATTCAAACTAACCACTCGTCCTCCACCAACGTGATCCATTTGTCTGGATTCATATGGTGCCGTGTGGACAGGACAGACTGAGGTGGTGCTGAAGGACGGGGCCCATCACGTGACTAATGGCCACATTGTACTTGCCTTGAGAAGGCAGCCGCAGAGTGAACTTATCCAGTCCACTATGCCAACAACAGGCATCACAATCAACACATCCTCACTGGCCACTCTGCCAGCACAGAGCAGGAAATTAGATTTTTTTTGCAATCAGACAATCAGACTCCCTCTTGTCTTCTGGTTCCTCTCCTGTTTAGTAGTGAAGAACTGGTTTGCTAATTAGTGCTCCAGCACAGTGTTCAGCACTGGTGAGTGCCGCCATTCAAAAGCATGAATGTTCACACTCTGGGTTAGTCCTACTATGTAGTACATTTATTTTTATCATATACAGAGGTGTCCAAATGTTCTTTCAAGCAAAGACAGAAATAAGAAAAATAATAATTAAAATGGCATGAAAAATTCTGATATTCTTGAACGTTTTTCAAACTTTAAAAGGTATCCACATTTTTTAAAGTATTATTATAAATATAAATCAATCAATCAATCAACAGGAGCAGTTTTGCCAACGCAAATTACTATTAAAGCCACAGCAAAACGGTTGACATCTCCACAATTTCTGATCCCACCTTCCCTGCAAATCACTCTCCAAAGCCACGCCTCCTCCAAAACACATGAACACGCACAGCAGACCAGAAACTAACCAGTGACACAATGAGAGAAGGTGTTGATGGAGGGTTGAATGCAATGCTGTCATGTTAGCTCATGTCTCATTCATCTGTGAGAAAACAATGCAGTACAAAGCGCGTAATATTACAATAATAAATACTTCCATTCTCACTCGGTCTGCAATAGCGTAATGGAATACGCTGATGACGTATAATGTCTATGTGAACAGGGTGTGCGGAGGTATGCAAATACATACATTGACAGGACAGCCTATCGTAGTCCTCGGACTGAGGAATATGATTGGAC